CACAGACGCCGCGCAGCAAATTTCCATGTAAGTGAGTGAGTGTGTTTGTGGGCTGTAAAATTTTCCACACACAAAAATTGATGCTGAAAAACTTTGCACACAACTGTATAATTTTGCACACGAACCAGCAAACCTTAAAGGGAACATTGGTTAGCAGTGCGTTTTTCTTTTTATGATGGAAAGCTTTTTTGTAAAGAATGATGTTTTTACAAAAAAGCTTTCCATCATAAAAAGAAAAACGCACTGCTAACCAATGTTCCCTTTAAGGTTTGCTGGTTCGTGTGCAAAATTATACAGTTGTGTGCAAAGTTTTTCAGCATCAATTTTTGTGTGTGGAAAATTTTACAGCCCACAAACACACTCACTCACTTACATGGAAATTTGCTGCGCGGCGTCTGTGAGATAGCTGGGCGGCCGCGCAGCCGCTCAGCTTAGGGAACATTGCTGCTAACATAATTTATTGACATGTCAACGTTGAACGCAAATATTTCCAAGTTATACCAAAGTTAAAAAGAAAGACATGTTTTGTGGAAAGGTCTATACATTTTCATGAGTTTTCAAAAAATGGTCATTTTTATCAATCGTATGTGAACGGCATATTTATGTTTATGTTAAGAAGACACCAGATGTTTACAAAAGACATAATATATTTCTTAATGTGTGATTGTATCTGAGAGAAATTGAGTTAATAAAGAAGGAGTTTGGAACAAAGTATCGATTTCTCAAAATTCAGTTGACTGAAGTGTTTATTAGGAATTTCAATCTACTATAACTTTCTTAAGATAAATTATAAATTTGCCTGTTCGATTTACTTGCACATGTTTTCTTTAACCAAATTCCCAGAATGTATTTTAAAATTGGCGATTTGGGAAGGAACCCCCCCTCCCCCCCCCCCCTAAAAATCTGGATTCTCATTTTTATTTATTAGGAATTTCAATCTACTATTACTTTCTTAAGATAAATTATAAATTTGCCTGTTCGATTTACTTGCCCATGTTTTCTTTAACCAAATTCACAGAATGTATTTTAAAATTGGCGATTTGGGAAGGAACCCCCCCTCCCCCCCCCCCCTAAAAATCTGGATTCTCATTTTTTTTAAAAAGCGTGCAAATAGATGGGGCTTATTCTGATATTAAAACAAGAAAAGCAGATGGGAATTTAATAAGTATGGGCTAAGTGTTATTTTTAACTCTGGCCAATTTGTTATAAAAGTAGTACATTTAAGACAAAAGCTTTTGATTTAATAATAAGCGATGAAACGTGCACTGTTTGTATTTGCCCGTTAAATTCTTAATTTAAAAAAAAAAAAGCATTTTTTAAAAATAGAATTTTAAAAGCTCAACATTCATGAAATTGAGTACATTAAAAATTACGATAATAACTATATTTCTCAAGTATGATGCCCTCATACAATTTATAATTAACACCTATCCCTATTTTACAAGTCATGCTTTTATGATGAAATCTAATTTGAAAAATAGATTATACACGTTTGATACTTAGCAAGAACTATTCTTAAAATTGTAGATCTAAAAATTGTATTGATGTAAATTTGATTTAATACCGTGCTATTAATTAAAGTCTTCAAACTTGTGTAGTTGCAAAAAAATAAATGATTAAAAATACAAATGTATGCAAACAACACGATGTAAGATTGCGGCCTATAATCAGGAGAGGTCAGTACGATATTTATAATCGAACACTGCAAGTCTTTAACAAGACGAACCCTTAAATATACGGATCATCCAATATATCGAGCTTAGCGATATTTGATCAATTCCAACAATTGTAATCGGTTAAAGGCACAAAATACTTTTTTTTTTTTTTTAATGTTTATAAAATTAAAATTTTGTTGTTTTTAATTTTAAAATATATAATCGTTATCTTTGTTCACATTTGCTCCGGTTCCCCCCCCCCCCCCCCCCCCCGGAGAGATGCCTAAAGAAACCCTGATTGCATATTTATCTATATAGCATTTACACAAATCAATTGGCTAAGAGTGTTGCATGCTGTTCACATCTGTCTATTTATTGTATGAGGTTCAGTGTTTAGTTGCCGCGAATTGTACTGGGTTTTAGTTTTAAAGAATGTTGCATTTCTACCGGTATGATGGATTATTTCCCTTATATTAAAGTTTCAAGAGCTCTATGAGCGAGATCAGCGTTCCCCAAACAGTGGACCGGCACCGGTCCGCAAGCCTTACGTTACCGGTCCATAGAGCGTGAATATTGATGTTTAAATAGAAATAAAATGTAATTAATAAATCTGGCACCGGTCCCCGGTGCAATTTCGAAAACTTGTCTACCGGTCCGTGAAACTTAAAAGTTTGGGAAACGCTGAGCTAGATGACAACAAGAGCTCTATGAGCTAGGTGACAACAAGAGCTCTATGAGCTTGATGACACCACCGTCGTGTCGGTCACCACTGAGTGAGTGTACTCCACAAGAGAAAGTAGTTTCTTTTTCAGAATAAGACAAAAGCCAGTGTTGTTACATCTCCTGTAAGTGAATCAATGTAAATGAATGCTGAAGAAAGCCGTCTTTACAATGCATGTGATTTATTCAATCTTTGTCTGTCTCGACGTTATAAATAATGTTCTCACATCATGAAGTGGCTCCATTGGAATGAAGTACTTGACAAAACGTAAACAAGGAAACATTACACGTTTGGACTCATTTTATGTTACATTATTGACGGGCACCCAGGCGTATGGGGCGCTGACACACTGGTGTATGGGGCGCTAACAACGTGGCTCCCAGTCGAGAACCTATTCGCATGTAGTGATAATTTGGGCATGCTATCTATACACATTTGTAGCGTATAATTCTATGCCCCATTTACAATGGGGTGTCCCAAATGAAACTCTATGTTACCTAAAAAAAAATAAAAAAATACTGCTATTTAAGGTATGGTTCAAAAAGACTGGGGACCTCTTATTTACGTACATTTGGCTTGTGAAAAGTGTGCTTCCAAAGCGTTCCTGATTCTTGCACCAAAGAAATGAACTCTCGTGATTGCGTAACTCAATAATAGGGTTTGCCATGTAATGGCGTAAATCTATTAATAGAACATCTGGGAATACAGTCTGGCCAACCTCATAAAGATATGAACAAAAACATCCCGGTATTTCCTTTGACCAATGCCTCATCAGCTGTTCGATACTTCTACGGCAATGTGAGCCAGCATATGAATCTTAACCTAGACCAAGGGTCGGGAACCTTTTTGTCCGAGAGAGCCATGGACACCACAAATTTTAAAAAAGTAATTCTGTGAGAGCCATATATTACGTTTAAAACTAAAAATTCAAGTAAATGTGTGCATTTTGTGTAATTTCAACACTAAAAATACAATAATTATGTCTCTGAATTCTTTTTAATAACATTGTTATGTTGTTGCCAATCAAAGGAGTCTAAAGAAACATTTTTTTTTATAATCGAACATTTGTCTGCGAGCCAGATGCAGCCATCAATAGAGCCACATCTGGCACGCGAGCCATAGGTTCCCGACCCCTGACCTAGACGAAAACGTGTTTACAAATTTATTTTACGAAGATTTTACAAACAAATTGTTACTGACGAGTGAGAACATCTCGTAATATATATATATATATATATATATGACACATTGTTAGAAGCTATGTTTTAAGAAAACATCGTCTAAAAATAGTAATAATGCAATGTGACGTTCTCCTGTCTCAGAAATGACAAACCCGTTGAGCCGACTCACTAACATCTATCTTCATGTTACTCCGAAAACGTACATATTATTTGATCACTTGAACCGAAATATAAATTTACAATAACTGGGAAAATAACAACTAAATTGCTTTTGTGCGTAACCCTTGAAGAGACAGGCTGAACGGATATTTGAAAACCACTGTTCACTATACCGGTGTACGGCAAAGTGAGGCTCCCGGACAAATTATTATTAGCTATTATCAATTTTAATTTTATTTTGATATAAAAAGAGGGAATAAATAATTTGAATATTTTTACAAGCAATGTACCGGTAGTATTTTCTTAGCAGGTTGCAGATGCAATTTTGAAAAAAAAAAAAAAAGACTCTTCACCGCCCATACGTTTGCCACTCCTGAACTATTCTATGGTACGGTCATTTATCCGATGTATTCATGAATGAAATCACACCTCTTGTCTCATGAACATTATTTTAAACACGAAGCCTTTCGTAGATTTGGTATAAATGTTAAGTTAAGTTGCTGTATCCAGGGGCAGTGAATATTATCAGCGTAAGGTCGGGATCTCTTGTTTTATACCCCCCCCCCCACCATCAGTCACGCTCCGAAGTATCACACCCTTATAGGGCACGGAAAAGATCCAAAGCTTTTGTTTAGAGACTACTAAATTTATGTTCATGGTTCAAGTCGAAAGAACATCTAGAAATTTCTCGCATTAAAAAATTTACCCCACCCCACCCCCAAAACTGATAAATGGGTCAAGTTTGAATTAGAAAAATTTCATAGATCGTTAAATCGGAGCTTCCTCTGTGTTTAGCAATCACTATTTCAAAAGCAATGATTTAAGATTATATGAGTACTTCAATGATTGCGCAATGTACTTTTTTTTTTTCTATACTCTAGATCTCCAGATGAACCCGTACAAATTTAATCAATCTAGACTATGGACCCCCGTCTCCAGATGCCTTCTGTAGCCTTTTAATTATGCCCCCATGTGAAAATCTCATAAAATGAACTGATCTGTCCATAAGTCAAAGTATGTGGATTGAATATCCATTACAGCTCTAATAATATCAAAACATGTTCACCAAAGTCGCGATGGAACCGGGCTTCAAATATACCAGTTTGGCGTTATCTGAGTACGTAAGACTTAAAAAAAATGGATTTGCAAGGTAATTCATGGGAAAACATATTCATTCGGACCAAACAGTGTCCAAATATAAATTATAAAAATACATTAGTCGAAGTGTCTGTAATTGTAAATGCACCGAACTTTTTGGAAGAATTGCCATACTTTTAAACACCACTAAACTTTCGTTTCCTTTCTCGCGGAGCCGTATCCCGCCACCAACGGATTCGGTTTGCTCAGCTGCGGCAGCTCCCCCTGCCAGGGATCTTCTAATCCGATGAAAGCCCGACTTAAACCATCTCTTGTTTCGGTATCGAGCTGCCGCCTGACTAGAGGCTTGCTGAGGTCAATGACCTGAGACTCGCTGGCCTCGCCCATGCAGTACTCTCCGAAACTCGAAGACTTCCCGCCTTCTGAATAGATCTCGTCATCGTCGTCGTACGTGTACCCCCAGCGGTTCCCGTAGTTTTCGCAGTCGTCCATATTGAGCAGGTCACTGTCCACCTCGTCCATTTCTCCGTAATCCGAATGCCGGTTCACCTGGTCACAGTGAGTGGGGACCACTGCGCTCTCCGTAACCTCGAAAATACTTTTGGGACTCCCGGGTCCGAAGTACGTTTCTTTCGGCAACAGGTTTGATTTCTCGTGCACTAAGTCTTCTTCATCCTGTTTCGAGAAACTCCTGAGAAAGTATTTGAGGTTTTTGAAGACCCCCGACTCTTCCGTCAGCATGGTGATGTTACTTAACAACTTCATCATTTCCTCCTCGCCGTTGCTCACAGAGGACAGGGAGTTGAGAATAGATTTACCGTTGCTTTTCAATTCCTCCTTGATCTTGCCATTGCTGTTTGAATGCGTGAATCCGTTCGTGCCATGTTTTGAGGAGCTGTGGTTAGTCCCGTCGTCGTCCTCAACCTCATTGGCAATGGACAAGGTGCAGGAGAGCAGCGACGTTCTCTCAGAGAGGAAGTCGCTGAGATCTTTGTGCCTCCCATCGCCGTCACAGCTAGGCTCGCGCTTGTCGCTGGCGGTGCTGTGGGGTTTCCCCTTCGGGCTGTCGCCGTTCTGGCCGGCGAACAAATTGTTAGTTCCCCGCATGCTAGTGGAATAGTTGAGCAAGGACTGGCTCTCGGCCTCACTGTCCAAGTTGGACAGTCCGTCAAGCGTGTCCATGTCATTGCTGGTACTGAAGGCACCGAGTGGGGGCATGTTGGCCAGGAGCTCGGACACTTCCAGCGAGCACGAAGACACAATGGCCTGCTCCTCGGGGTGGCAATCCATTTTGGATCGGTAGACGCGATTTTCGCTGCTTCCTCGCCTGGGCAAGGGAACGGTTTGAGATTTGTTGACTTCATCGGAATCTCTCTCAGAATCACATTCGATGATGGGAAAGAAAATGCTGTTGTCCCTCTCGAACATATAGAACCTCTCGTTGTCGCTCCCCTTGAGTGGGTTCACATCGACGGGAGAATTACGCCCCGGGTTATTGTATAGACGGATTTCGACAGCACCGTTGTGTTTTGGTTTGTGGTTGCGGCAAGGCACCTCGTTCCTTCCATCGCCCCAGTCTATCGTCGGGGCGCCCTCGGACACGCACTTCGAACACAGTTGTTTGTTGCAGAATTTCTTCCCGAAGAAACCTTTTTTACAGAACTGATTTTTGGCACTCAGAAACGTGAAGCTCTCCTTGGCCCTCTTGTCGTCCTCGCACTCAACCAGCAACCGGCTGAACGTGTTTCCGTTCCGTGTCATTGTCTGTGCCTGGTTGACGTACTTGCTTCCAGTGCTCGAGGGGGAGATGCTCCCACAGTCGTCTTCGATGGCCGCCGCGTTGGTATCCTCCCTTGATCCACCCCTGCCAAATATCCGCTTCATGAACTGCCGATTTTTATATTGGGCCGAGCGGAATTTTTCTCGCGAGACGAACTCGTGGTAGTAATTCCGTAGGTTGGCCTCCTCCCTCTCCCGGCGGATGTACTTGACCATCAGGACAACAATGCTGAAGGCGTAGAACATGAGGACTATGACGATGTAGAGGAGGGCGTCGAGGGAGCCGGGTAGCTTGACCGCGGCTGGGGTCTGAGAAGACAGGGCGTCACCGCAGGGTTTGTCTGACATTTCGGCGTAGGGCAAACCAGTGGCGTCCCCGCTACGCTCGTCGAGGGCGAAGAGAATTGGGGGGAGCGAGGCAGGAGACGTGATGTTGATAGGCCAGTCGCTGACATTCATTTTGGCGTTGGGGAGAGAGTAGCTTCTTGCGGCTAGCGCATTTCTGCGTGTAATTGTAAGTGGGCCGTCTCAGATGGAAACACACAACTTGCTGAAAAGGTGATTCTCATAGACGACAAGTAGAGGTCTCGTCACTGTGTGACAGGCAGTGTCCTGGACGTTCGCGGGACTGAAAGGGGGCAAACATTTTGGTGCCCTTCAAATCGTTGACACCCATAGGAGGAAAACTATAAACCATTTGAGCTGACCAGATTTGAGCCTGACTCCACCAAAACACCATCCATGCGTCACATGGGAAGATTGTGTTTGTGCATCAAACATCTTGTAAATAACCAGCCCATTTTCCTCGCGCGGAGGTAAATATCGTAGAGATTATTGTCAATACTTTCTTCAACTGAAGCATCAGATGTTTTTTTTTTGTTTTTTTTTTATACAAAAACCAATCGCCTAATTTTTTTTCCAAAGAATTACCATTCTAGATTCTGGCTTTTGTTTTGGAGTTCATGTGTAAAAACTGTTCCAAATGGGAATTTTGCCGGTTTTTGCACATGGCCTGCCTGGAGCATTCGAGATCCATTTTGTTATATATATATATATATATATTTATATTTGGGTCCACCTAATCATGTGTGTAGATGTTAAATGACCGGCATTAACCGCCACAGCGTTATCTGCCCCTTTTCGGTCAATAGCGTGTTTAATGACGTCTCACACCCGGGGTGTTTCCTAGGCTCCATAATTGGGGCGCACTTGCAGGAAGCGTGCACCCTCGTCAAGGCGAGGTAGCTCTTCCTGTGTCCATGCCTGAAGGAGCAAAACTTGATTGCGTCCTACGTGCCCGGGTGGCATGCATGGATAGCTCTCAGCGATGGGAAGATGGCGATTCTCTGCTCATTATCTGCAGAAAGGAAATGGGAAAAAAAATATGAAGATAATTGATGATAGAAAAATAAAAATGTCCTGACTGGTATAAAATATGAAAATAAGGAACTGAGCCAAAGCAAGACACAGTCAAAGCAAGACACCGTCAAATCAAGACACAGCAAAAGCAAGACACAGTCAAAGCAAGATACCGTCAAATCAAGACACAGCAAAAGCAAGACACAGTCAAAGCAAGACACAGCCAAAGCAAGATACCGTCAAATCAAGACACAGTCAAAGCAAGACACAGCCAAAGCAAGACACAGCAAAAGCAAGACACAGTCAAAGCAAGATACCGTCAAATCAAGGCACAGCCAAAGCAAGACACAGCAAAAGCAAGACACAGTCAAAGCAAATCGATGTTTAAATAATGCTATTAATTTGTGATCGATAATAGGAGGTCAATCTTATTTGCACTGGTGGAGATAATGAAGTCTGGGCCGACAGACCAGGGGGTAGGGAAGGAATGCGGGGAATAGGGAAAGGTTGACATATGACAAAATATCTTCTGGTTAGGTCACGTTTCTTAGCTGCTATGATTATAAACCTTAGCTAAAATTATTTAAGTCCACAAAATATCAGAACCATGTTAAATGGCGAAATAAAAGCACCATGATATATAAAGAAATAATAGGACCACGATAAATGACAAAATAACAGAACCACGATAACTGACTAAATAACAGCACCATGATATATGACGAAATAACAGCACCATGATAATTGACGAAATCAAAAGCAGCATGATAAATGACGAAATAATAGCACCGTGATAAATGACGCAATAACAGGACTAAAATATATGACGAAATAAAATCAGGATAGTGAGGATATGTAATAAAATCGGAATGTTAAAAAATGCAATAATATTTCTGTACACTTTCCCTTTATCTTTTATTTGACTTTTGGCACAAATCAAGTGAAGCTAACAGAGTTGTTTACAGCAGAAATCATGTCAACAATTCTAGTCAGCTAGAGTTATTCCTAAATATCATGCGCATCTCTGTTGCCCCCAAGCAAAAATGTTTGGAATCTGAAATGATTTCTCCTGGGACCGCTAAAAAAACTAAAAAAAAAACAAACAACAACAAACAACAACAGATATTTGACCACTGGTCAAGTTCAATAGTGGAGCTGGACTCGACAACACAACCGTCAACTGTGGCCTTCAAACGCAGATTGTTTATTACACATTAGCCGACATGAGCCCGGTAGAGCTGGAGTCAAGGATGCTTCGATAAAAACAATTTTTTGTGTCTCAGACTTAGCTGCTACAAAATCCTTACTGAACGATAACATGCTACTAGCCGGCTCACTCTAGCAGACACTACATCACCGAACTGACCAATTTTTTTTTTTTTTTTTTTTTTAAAAAGATAAAGTACTGAAAAAAAAAAAAA